TTTTGAGTTGAAGTCTCACTCTGTTGCCCAGGTTGGAGTGCAGTGGCACACTCATGGCTACAGCAGCCTTGACCTACTTGGCTCAAGTGATCCTTCTGCCTCAGCCTTCTAAGTAGCTGGAACCATAGGTGTGTGCCACCATGCCCGGGTAATTTTTTTTGATTTATTGTAGAGATGAGGTCTCGTTATGTTGCCCAGCCTGGTCTTGAGCCCGCAGGCTCAGGCAATCCTCTTGCCTTTGCCTCCCAAAGTGCTGAGATTACAGGCGTGAGTCACTGTACCTGGCCTTTGACTTACTTTTCATAGAAACAATTTACTTTTTTTGAGTCAGTCTCACTTCATCACCCAGGCTAGAGTGCAGTGACTCAATCACAGCCACCATGGCCTTGACCTGCTGGGCTCAGGCAATCTTCCCACCTAAATCTCCTGAGTAGCTGGAACTATAGGCATGCACCACTATGCTGGCTAATTTTTTGATATTTTGTAGAGATGAGGTCTTGCTGTGTTGCCTAGGCTGGTTGGTTATAGCAGTCTTGCTTCAAATATTGTATCTTGTTTCCTTTTTAGATTACAGTGTGTCTGCAAACTCCAAAATAGTTATTGTTACAGCAGGTGCAAGGCAGCAGGAGGGAGAAAGTCGTCTTTCCCTGGTCCAACGTAATGTGAATATCATGAAATCAATCGTTCCTGCCATAGTCCACCATAGCCCTGACTGTAAAATGCTTATTGTTTCAAATCCAGGTGAGTGTTTTCTCTTCCTCTTTTTTTTTTGAGTTGGAGCCTTACTTTTTGCCCATACTGGAGTGCAGTAGTACACTCATGGTCACCCCAGAGTCAGCCTCCTGCACTCTGGCGATCCTTCCACCTCAGCCTTCCAAGTAGCTGGAACTACAGGCGTGCTACCACATCCAACTAATTTTTTGATTTATTGTAGAGACGAGGTCTCACCAAGTTGCCTGGGCTGGTCTCAAACCCGCAGACTCAGGCAATCTACTTGCCTTGGCCTCCCAAAGTGCTGGGATTATAGGCTGAGCCACTGAGCCTGGCCTCTTTTTTTTTTTT